AAGACACTTTATCATTTTACATTATATCTTCAGGCAAGGATTACAGTCATTAAAATTAGACGGCTTATATTTCCTTTCTGAATTTCTCCAAATAACTAGTACAGTCTCCCATCTCAAACAGTTACAGTTTGGTTGTCGACCAAGTTGTTCACCGTAAAAGGGTCTGGGTTGGGGAATAAAACAGGCTGTCGACTTGACAACCCTTTCTTGCTGACACTTCAGCTTGACAAAATGTGTCTCTCAGGCAACAAAGAAGAGAATGCTTTTGTTGCTGGCAGAAATCGACAATTAGCATAATTTTGAAACATAAAGGCCATCAAGAGTGCTAATGTTGCTAAGGGTGTGAAAGTGCTCATAAAACACCGGTCACAGGAATGGAAGAGGTAGAAAAACTGTTGTTGGTTTGGATAAGGGGAAGCAGTCAGCCAGTGGTGACCACATTTCCGAGGCAGTGATAAGGGAAAAGGCAAGGATGCTGCACCCCTGGAATGAACGCTGGAAGTGATTAGTTCAAGGCTAGAAGGGTGTGGTTAATAAATTTAAGGAGTGTTTGTTTACAGATTAAACAGCACATTAGCAATGACAGGAATGGAAGAGGTAGAAAGACTGTTGTTGGTTTGGATAGGGGAAAGCAGTCAGCCAGTGGTGACCGCATTTCCGAGGCAGTGATAAGGGGAAAGGCAAGGATGCTGCACCCCTGGAATGAACGCTGGAAGTGATTAGTTCAAGGCTAGAAGGGTGTGGTTAATAAATTTAAGGAGTGTTTGTTTACAGATTAAACAGCACATTGGACATGTACTGTATATAAGAAAGGTTAAAACAGGGAATCATGGGTCTGGAACGAATTAATTCCATTTACATTATTTCTAATGGAAAGAAATGGTTCGGTTTCGAACAAATTGCTTCTCAAACAGCCTTCCGGAACGCATTAAGTTTGAGAACTGAGGTTCCACTATACAGTGAAAGGTCATGGTTGTTCAAGAAGGGGACTTCTGAGAAGGCAGTGAAAGTTCCCACAGAAAAGCCACAGAGTTCCTGAGTGCTCTTTAATTATTGCACAAAAACTGGGTTCTAACTCTTTCTTGGTGACCGTGTGGAATTTGATGTAAGACTGGGTTACGTGGATTATTTACTGCTTAATGAAAACTTGTTGGTGGCGGCTGAAATCAGATGAGTCTGGGTTCTGTGTGTGTGACGGAGCCACTCAGGTTGGAGTTGAGTTCTTGCCAGCTGGGTTTGCTTGGGCAGTTTATCCTCCATTCCTGGGCCACTGTTTTGTAAAATATCTGGAGCGGCCCGGCTAGGGGCTCACGAGGGCCGGCCAAGGACAAGGACGGGGTCTTGTATGTGAGAGCAGCTGTGGTTCAGAGACACAGTGGTGGCCTCATTGGTCCTTTATCTCAGGGGAGGCGCTCTCAGAAGAAGGGGTCTGAACAGGTCCCCTTCTTCGTATGCTGAATGATGAAAGGGACTTGGAGCCTATCTGAGTCTGATCACTCCTAC